TGACCAAATAAATTTATATTAGAAAGTGAATTTCAGAAAGAGCCATAACAGTTTATTTTAGATATAATATCCTCCTTTTTCCCTAAAAATCCATTTTGGATACATTTTAGTTTCCAAAAGCTTCAGTATCCAATTTTTTTCAGCCAAAGCAAACAAACAGTCGCATCTAACATAAACAAAATAAAAATGGATGGAAAATTTTCTATTATAGCTTTGGCATTGAAAAAGCCCAATCTTTCATCTGATTTTCCCACACTTTCTCGTTAACCCAACACATTTACCAAAAAAAAAAAATTGAATCAAGAAATAAAAGGAGCAAAGTTTGTCACCGGAACACAGTCATCGACATCTTCAACACTTTGGCGGTGATTCTAGATGGTGAAACGACGCCTCTGTCAGACATTGAAGAGGAACCACCCAAAAGCCAGAATCCACAACTCTAAGACTTGTCGGGAATCCAAATGATCAAACATTACATTCTCGCTGAAACAAACAAAATCCTTAAAATAACAAGTCATAAGATACGAAAAAAAGAGGAAAAAACAAATAAATGTGAATCAACCAAACCCATGGGCTGAGCGTGGAAATCGCACCAAAGATTTCATTATAGAGAAACAGGGGAGAGAAAGGAAACAACAAATGCAAACAAAGAGAGGCGGCGAGGGCTATGGAAGCTGATGTGGAACGGGCTAGAGGGCAACATCCCCAGAGGACAAAAACTATTGCAAAAGGAGGGGAAAAAAAGAAACATGAACAAATATGGAGAAGGAAGAAGTCGTCCCATTCAAACCCCTTTTTTAACCAAAACGACAGTGTTTTGGTCGCAAATTTTCAACCAAAATGACCGTGTTTCGGCAAAACAGTGCAGCATTTTGAAATTTCTATATTACTTATAGATAACAAGTTAATATGGTCAACAAACTTTCTACATCAAATACCACATTTCTGCCTAAAAACGTTTGAGTGATGTAAAACTAAATAAAATGTGCACACACAAAAAAAAGGGTTCAAGTACAATTGATATTGGATTGTAGATATGCTTATTTTAAACTTACAAGAACACAACTTAGTAAAATTTTCATTTCATCATATAGCACTCACTTTTGCTCAAAGCCATATTCTCTCATGAAACACACAAGGACCAAAAGGTATCATTCGTTGGTATGATTTGTTTAAGCAGCAAGGAGCATTAAATTTTAATTCACAAGGTATGATTTGTTGTGTTCCTCTGTTTCACAGGCTAGAAAGTCTTAGCAACAAAAGAGAACCTTGGCCTTGCATATTACTTCAGTCATAGCTTATCTTATATTCTTAAAAAAGCAGGACAAAGGTTGGCACATACATCCAAAATATCAGAAGCAACGCATATGAATCTGTAAGAGATGGTAACACTGTCTTTTAGGAAATCAATACATATTTAGAAAATTTTTTACAGATTGTAATTGTTACAACAATCTTACGCACACTTACTCAGCATTCCACAGTTTAGGACCAAGAACCCTGAGGTAGATCAAAGGATTCATAGTCCCAGCATCAACCTGATCAATACAACGGAAATTAGTGAGGCAAAAGAGTCATGAACATTAGTTTATATAGGTAGCAAAAATATAAAAACTGCAATAACACCCAAGTACAACTTTTGAGCCGAAACAACATAGACACTATATGCAACAACATGAACAATTATCTAAATAACTATAA